CAAACGCTAATCTACCGAATGATTTGGGTGTGCTTGAAACGATTCCTTTGGTACATCTGGACAGAATAGTCATGTTTAGCCAGAACGGCACGAATGCGTTCAAATTTCAACGTGAAATTGATTTTCGTTTCCCCATCATTTGCTTTCACCGTCGTCCCTTTCCGAATTTGATGGGTTCTCTTTTTTTGTACCTTTTCAATAAGTAAATTATTTAATAGTCTAGAACATTGGATTTATTATGTATTTATTTTACATTTTACTTGTTTTTCCATTTTCTTGTAGTACATTTCGTCGAATTTCGAACATGGACATTACATCCAACTATAATATCATTCTCTGTCTCAACCTCTCTCTTTTCACCCTTCGTTCCGTATTCTCCTTTCGGCAATGACGCAATTTCATCCGTTTTGATCGTTTTATGTGTGTACAAAGCATATTCCGTTTAAATAAATAAACATTATCTACTTGGATAAATAAATATTTTAACTAATTTGCGATTAATCAAACATTTCCATTGAGAGAGCGGGAACGAGTGAATGAGAGTGGGAGATCGAAGTTCAACGAATGATGAAGTTTTCGAAGCATTGAAATAGATAAGGAATCAATCGAATAAAGTTTTTGAATTGAACCATTTAGTGTAGATGTGTATGCATTGAAAAGAGTTCGGCAAGGAAGCGCCCAAAACTTGCAAGGCAATGTGGATTTCAGCACAACAAATTCGTATGTTGTATGCTCAATGAATGTTCAATTGTGCACAACACGACGCTTCATTGTGATATAATCGAAAGTTGAAATTGAACTTGAAAACTTGTTGAATGCATTGCAAATAGGGTGACTACATTCGCATGCAAATGTCACATCGATTCGCGTACTGATTTTTCAAGTACCACGAGAAAAAAATACGTTATTCAAAATCTAATTGTGATGACAAAAGGGGAAAAACCATACATAAAGTCAATCGAGTGGAAATTCAATTTGGATATTAAAAAAAACGCACAGGAGAGACCAAAAATGACTACATGATTGTGTCAAAGAAAAACGAACGAAGACGAATTAACGAATTTGTAGTTATTAATTTTGAGCGTTTTTTTTTCTTTTCAGGGACAATCCACGCATTTCCTTGAAAATATTCAAAGTTTCCATCTTGTCTTATTGAAATATTCGACACAGAATGGACATTTTTTCCACTTTTATCTGGCTATACAAAAGACTCGTGTTATTTATTTATTTAAAAAAAAAAGACTCAATGCCGCTCAATTCTTTGGGGATGAACTACAGTGCAGACACGTAAGTAAATTCGAAATTTGCCTTTAAAGTCACGAGCTACCACTGATTTTTTCATCCCCAAAGTGCACCCACAGTGCACAGTCTACAAAACAAACAACAAGTTCAAAGGAAGTAGAAAGGGAGTGAGCGTAGCAAGGAAAAGAAGTAAAAATACGGGTGAGTTGAGAAAATCAAAATATCTCTGAGAGCACACATCACAATCAAGTAATATCATATGCCCACACGTGAATTTATTGATCGTCTGGCATTTCGCATTTTGGAAGATTCACTTGTGTTTTTGTTGTTGCTATCTTTCTGCATATTTACAATCTCTTCATGTTGCCAATGTATCTGTCTCGCTGTGTTGTTTTGCGCGACGTACAATAATTTAAAACGGAACAAAAGAATTTATTTGTTCAAAAGGTGGAACAGTGGCAGCTCATATGAACGCGAGAGACAGAATGAAAAAAAATCGTCATTGTTACACATGCATGTTTATATAACATGAATAATATAAAGGCTGTGAAAAAGAAATCATTCGCATTTCTTTTTTTCAGTCTATAGCATGTGAGTCTTCATCGTCTGAGCCGATTTTGTATGTGCATCTGAGCTTATCTGTGGATACAGTTTTGTTGTATTCACGTATGAACACAATAATTTCGAGAAGCGATCTTTTTGCAGCAGAGCTAACAAAAAGTAACGGCAAAATGTTCGGTCCAAAGAGTATGGATAAATATAAATGCGGGAAAATTCAACGAAATACAATCTAAACGACAAATATTACAATGGAAGTAGAGATGGAAACAGAAAGAGTGTTCAAGAAGAAGCAGAGTGGAGGAGAGCGGAAAAAATGGCAGCAACGGCCACAATTTTACATTTTTTACTTGCGAAACGTTAAATAGCTAAATAAAGTTATGTATTTCATTTTCATTCTCCACGTTTTTACAGGCTGCAGGAAAATGAAAAGCATTTCCCACATTCAAGCCCACCCCGGCACCGTCAAAATGAAGAAATTGATAAGCAGAACGCATACAATAGATAAAAACGAAATGGAAAATGATGAACGAACGGTGAAATCGAAATAAAAAGTGAAAGAAAACACACACACACACACACACCGATCTCAACACACTGGCAAAATGGCATGCTCACGCTCATGATGCTGCTGCTGATTTCAGCATGCCATGTTACCTGTGCCGCACCACACTGGCTCCAGGTACAAAACACCACGTTTATGCAAATCTAAAATCAAAGTCTTTCTCTCTCTCTCTCTCTCTCTCTCTCTCTCTCTCTCTCTCTCTCTCTCTCTCTCTCTCTCTCTCTCTCATTCGCCAGATAAACTGAAAGAGAATAATTCGAAAAATTGAAACATTTGCCGTGTGTATTGTCTCGCGCGCGCATTCGCTTGCCTGCAGTATTTCTTTACATTTTGCTCCCCAGACAAACGCGCACCATGGATGAAGTCACACAAAGCATTCGACTTGAAATGGATATATCCACATCTTTTTTCACTCCTGTTCCCAAGCTCGGTGTGTGTTCTTTTTTTCCGTCTTTATTTAAATCAATCACGACAACTACATTTCCTGAACATTTTGGACTAACAATGGCAAACGATGGGAATATGGGATTATTGGGATTGATTCCAATGCTATCCAATTTCGTACAATTGCCTTTCACGAAAAAATGTTTTCCAATTTCGACCTTAAATATTAAAGGGGTGAGAGCGAGAGCAAGAGAAAGAGATTTCCCTGTTAAAGTTTCAAAATCCATTTAAATCATAACAAGAGCATGTTTTCTGCTTTGTTGAAAGGAAATAACGTGGGTAAGCAGTGAAAACTTGAAAACTTTGAAGGACATATGAAGTGACATCTAAATAGAATACGAAAGAATTTTGGTATCGTTGGAATACATCTGTTGGAAAAATCCTATTAACACAATGAATTGATCGTTTCGTTTTCCCGATGGTCCGTTTTCGTCTTCGTCGTTGTTGCGAGAAACATTCACCGACTAAAGTGTAAATGGTTATTTGTGATGTAAAATCAACATTTATTTTTATTAGGCCCCATTTCATTCGGTCCATTTTTCGAAGCGCCAAAACTAAATTGCACTTAATAACCAAATCTCATCATTATAATGAGTTTATTTGTGTGATGTGTCTATATAATAGATTGGAATTGGAACAAAATACACTCTTGAAACAATATGAAATCGTGCGATTTCCGGTATTTTTCTCATCTGAAAATAATAGCGTAACATTCATGGAGCGATGTATGAGAGGGAAAGAAAGAGAAAAATGTATACACAATCAGAACCATCAACGATTTGATATTTTTCATTTCCGAAGCAAATGCACAACAAAGCAGGTTTATTAAACACTCTCTCTCTCTCTCACTCTCTCTCTGGATGGAAGAGCCATTTCTGGTAATGACATCGATCAGTTATCGAATGTATGTTTGTGTGTGGGTGTGCACGTTTTTTGTTTTGTTTTGTTTTGTTTTGTTTTGTCTTGTATGTTCGTTCCGTTGATCGAAGTTTTTCTAGCGAAGAAATGTCAGAGAAAAAAAGTAAATCTATGGATCACATTATCTATAATTTGGCAGGTATTGTGTATTGGAAATGTAGAGAGTTTGGATTCGATTTCGGGTCCATCGTGAATTGGCATATTTTTTGTTAATATTCTTGACCCGGATAATCCAAATGCTTAATGTATCCTCGAATTGATTTCGTTTTTATTCCAAATGGTTCAATTTGATAAAATGTTGTTTTTCACATTTGTAAAATAAAGAAATTGATTTGTCTGCATCGATTCACACGCATACCCCATACTGTTGGCATTTAGAAGAAGCGGGTCGCGCATCTTCGTTTCCGTCATATTTATTCGAATGGTGGTAAGATTGCTGGCGGATTGGATTTTCCCACTCAAAATCAGTGTTGAAGAATGCCAAAATGTAGATGCCATGCTATATCTACTTGAGTGTTGGGGGTATTCGAACGGATAACTTGAATGTAAATCCAAGATGTGTATAAATTCATTCACATGACAGCACACACAACGTGTGATCTCGCTATGTGCCTGTGAAATTTGATGTGCAAAAATATAAGGTTTTTATCCACTGAATGGATCTTGATTCACCCGAAATGAAAAAGTCAACGAAAAGAGTGAGGCAGCAACAGTCACACGTACGCACGCACGCACGCAGATACACACACACATTCAACCGCGCTGACATACACAATCACTCACAGCGACACCGTTTATAAAATACAGAGTCAAGGACAGTGAAAATAGCAATGGCATGAATGTGAAAATGGGTGCCCGATGGAGAGAAGCGTGCCAGCAATAGAAAAATAGAAAGAGAAAAACAGCAGCATCACAACAACTGCACCATGTTTTTGAGTGTATGCGAGTGCTCGCTGGTTGTGTTGTACATAAAAAGATGTAGATGACGATGGAAGATAATGTTTAAACAACGATGTAGATTGAATATATTTTGATCTCATTTCTGGTTATGTTCCTGTATGTGTGTGTGTATGTAAGCTCAATGCGACATGGTACACGCGACAAAAGACAATAGTGAGTGCTACCGCTTGGTACTTTCACTATTATAAACATCGGGCTCTCAGCATCCCCTCACGCTCTCGCTGTTTTTTTATCTTGCCAACACTTGTGAAGACTCTTTACATAATGCAGAATGAAAAGATGATGGTAACACAACAACCAACTGCATAAGTACCTGTTCTTTTTTCCGCTTCATTTATGGCGATGTCTTCTAGTACAGTTGGCTCCGAACGTCCCTTTTGATTTACGCTGTATGCTATTAAATGTAAAGTAGGCGCACCACCACCACCATCAATGTAAGATGAATACGATGACGACGACGACGACGAAGAAGACGAAGACGAGGACGATGCCGCCGATGACGATGAAGATGATAATTCCGATGGCGATAAATCTAAAAGAAATAGTGGCAAAGGTGAAATAAAAATACGATAGTCGAATATAGCGGAATTTAGAGAATAAAAAAGTAGAAAGAATCAACTTGGGTGCTTTTGAAGCAAAATAAGGATAACGAAACGATACATCTAAATAAATTGGAAACAACATAGCAATCGTGAAGTATTCTCATTCACGATATGAACTTTGCTTTTAAAAAAACGCATTCAATGGAACCAATAAATTTATTCCATGGATTTTGCCAGAAGTGAAACCAATACACACTGGTTTAATTTCAGGAATGGCTTCATTCGTGTGCCACATGAAAAAAAAAACCGAAGAGATAAAGAGAGTGAGGGAGAATGCAGAGCTGAATCAATGAAGAGAAAATGTGTAAGTTAATATGCATAATTGACTGTGTACGTAACCTAAAGTGTCGTCGAGATGTGCTCTGGTCGAGTTACGCTGGGCTGGTTGGCATTTTATGTGGAAAAAAGTTCGATGATTCACTTTCTTCATTAAAAGAAAGTCTCTGACTCTTATCATAAATGGAAAAAAAAGGTAATTTAAAAAAGAGCAGCAGCCATTCCAATTCGATTTCATGTAATTACACAGATAACTCTGGGCATGTGAATGCTCCCACCGACCAGCACACCGAAAATTCGCTCGAACAAATGAACGAAAAATAGAGGGCAAAAAATTGTTCAACAAAAAAACATCGAACAGAATGGCTTTTTGCCATGGCATGACCAGAAATCAAAAGCAGAAAGAAAAAAACAAACGAGCGAGAAAAAAATAGACTGTAAAATAAATGTTGGTCTCCGTTTGGTGGAGAGAGTGCATACAACGGCGCTACTACACACGGATGTTTTTAGTGCTACGTACCTGCCAAATCGATGCGAAATAGTGGTATATCACTGAAGGCACTTGTAATATTCAAACGCAATTTTTTTGTTCGCGAATCGTATGCCTCCAACACGAAATGTTGCGGAAGTCCGCCATCGTAGCCAGCCACACATTCTAATTCCATTGTTGTTGGCGGCGATTCGTATGAATCGACAATCACATTGTTACTGTTCAAATGATGATTATTTATTGCGCTCGGCATTGACTTCGGTTCGGACGGAATGGACGACGGTGTTTTCAAGTGAGCAGCGTTCGGTTTGTGCACACCAAAGCTACTCTTCATTTCGAGATTGTTATAATTTTTATGGTTGTCAGAATGGTTTCGGTTTTTGTTATTTCTTGCATGGCCCTCGTCCCTGGTTCGACTGCGGTCATTTCCACCACTGGCAACAGCAGCAGCAGCAGCAGCAGCAGCTTCATTGCTAGCGGTTATCATAGATTTTATCGTTGACGTTGAAAACAACCGCGACGATGATGATAATGGATCTGGTAGAGTGTCCGAGCCTCTGTCTCTCCGATCACCTCGTGCACCATCCGTTGCGACGGAGGCGGCCGCTGCAGCACCACTTCGATAGCTCATATCGTTTACAACGGTGTCATCCCCATTTGTTTTATGACCATTGCTTCCTTTTGCCCAACTTTTCAGGTTTCGTTTTATATCGTGATGAAAATTTGGCTGTTTCGCATTCCTTTGATGATTCATTCTCGATGTCATGTATGACAAATTTGATTTGGCCGTTGAAGCAGCATCTCCATCTTCTTCCGCATAGTCGATGTCGCTGTCATCGCCCACCACAACACCACCATCACCACCGAGATGTTCAACTTTTGTTCGAGGTAAATACGATTTTTTATGATTATCCGGATTGTAACTTTTGGTATTACGACGAGTTTTTGTGCTCGGCCCTCTTATGCCATCGTTGTTGGTTGTGACGACGTCAACATCGTCATCATCATCATCATCATCATCGTTGTCGTCGTCTTCATCGTAGTTGCCTCTGCCATTGGCCGACAAACTCTTTTTATTAAATTTTGCCATATTTATCGTTCCGTTTTTGCTATTGGCCGCCATTTTACTAGCTGTTGACACGAAAACGTTACGATCTTTCATGTATTCCGTATTCATGTAATTCAATTCTTTTGGTCCATTTAATTGCTGCTGCTGGTGGTGATGGTTGTTGTAATTTTGGTTTGAATGTGCCGCCGAGGCCGTTAGATTCGTCGAGTTCATTGTTATCGCATAAGTGCTCGTTAAATACGGCCGTAATGTGCAATTACGTAATGGTGACGGTTTAGCTACGAAAAAAAAACGAGAAACAAAAGCGATAAAATTTTGGTTTACTATTTTTGTTAATCGTTGCACAAGTTATTAATAAACTGGGCGAACAGAAAAAATAAACTCGGTCTATGGTGTTCTCCAAGTGAATGTTGGTATTTATTCTGAACAAATTAAAATGTTTATGTACACAACTGAAAACAAATAAAGAGCTTTCGACACATTGCATAAAAACGATAAAGAGCATTTCGATGATTACCTGCGGGAACCACCTGAAACAGGCACGGTTCCGTTTGTTTGCCGATCGAATTCCTTGCCCAACACGCCAACGTTCCGTAATCACGTTCATTTTTTGGTGTATAAATCAATTCACTAACCGTCTCGATAATGTGTCGACCTGAGGAACAATTAATCGCATGAAAGGGAAAGAAACATTATTATTTATATTCTGTGAACAAAGATAGGAAATGAATTTCGTTGGCCACAAATATGAGATCAAGGTATATATATACTAGACACCGTCATTGTTTCCACAATCCCCATCACCTCACCTCGTATATAATCATCATCATCGTCGTTAGTCGAAGTAAAACTATGCCATGTATCGCTATCGAAAAATATTATGCGTTCAGCTCACGAATGAAGGGCATTTGACTTTTGACATCGGGCTAAAAGGTATATAAAAGTTTCAATTCGATGCGTGCACGTGTTCGATGTAATTGCGTCACACATGGTTTCAATGCGATAAATCACACGAAAATGGCTGATTCACACCGCCAAACGTAAAAACCATTTCACTTTGTTGCAAACGCATTACATTCCGATACCGATTATTTCCATAGAAGCCTATGTCGCACTGTAAATGTGGCGCACAACGTTTTTGTTGCTTGATTTTTTTTTTCAATCTCAACAGTATTCCACCGCAATGAATGATATAAATGCGTGCGGCCCAGAGCGACAGACCGTATAACCAAGTACGTATGGACTTAGCATACTATGTATTAGATGAACATCAGCGCCCAACATATTTATATTGACAAACGATGGTGAATCGCAATGAAAATCGGTGCAAAAACATCGAGTCGGTGAAAGATATCTTCCAAGTTCAAAAAGCACTGATTAACAGATATTTTTCAGCATCACATGAACAAAACGTGCGATGACGACATTAAAAACCTAGTTGACAATGTCACCGTTCTACGTTTTCTTTTTTTCGTTCTCTTTCTATGTGCCCGTCGACATTCAATGTGGTTGGCCAGTGAATTTATGAATTTAGTGCATTGTACTTCGATAGAGATTTACGGTTACGAGGAAAAACGTATCACGTTTTTATGGGAGGAAAAAAATTGATAAAAACCAAATCAAAGTGTCACATGCGTCTCGAAATAACAGAATCGTCGAAAAAAAAATGGAGACGACCGACACATCAATGAATGAAAAGGAAAAAAAAGCAAACCCACACGCACCCGAAGAAGAGAAGTCACATATGGTTTGAATAGCTCCAAATGGAAATCAATGGATATAATAGTTTCGCAACAAATGCGTAATACGTATTGTGATATTTTAGATGTCTACATCAATGTTGAAGTTTTACAAATGTGCACCATTTTCCCATTCGCATGATCTGTCATGGGGTGGCTGTTTTTCCTCCAATGGAAGCAGTCAGTAAGCAAGCCAATAGAATTAAAGCCTCTCTAATAAATACCAATTTATTCATAAAATATTTATCATCGGGCTGCAATTATTATTGTACTTTTTGGTGAAACTGATATATCATTTGATAGGTCTTTATTTTAAGCGACACAAAAAACAACCAAAGGCCATAAAAATCGTCTCGCACAAAAAACTGTGCCACGTGAACGATCACAAAGTGAATGAATGCTATCTCAATGAGTTACTTTGTGTTAACATTTGCATATGCTGGAAAGTGTTGATGACACTGCTGTTGATTTCAATTTTCCATAAATAAACATAACTACATTTTAATTCATGGCAAGTTAACTGTGTTGAAAATAAAATCCATTCCATGTGTCATTCTGTGTGCGATATGATATTTTTATCAATTAAATAGCATAATTTATTAACTGGAGATAAAAAAAAATCGGGGAGTGGATAAATTCAGGAAAAAAAAAATTTATTATGAGCCAAAGCGAAACAACCGCGATAACAATTCGTTGATGAATATGGTTCGTGGTGGTGTGTTTGCGGTGTTTGGATGAATAAAACGTGAAATCCGAAAAAAATAATGACGTTAATCGAATGCTTACCATCACTTTCGCCATGTGTTTCTTCCGAGTCGTAAAATACGGAAGCACTTTTTGAACCATCCGTTCCACCAACGCCGTTGTCCTGCACCGTTGCGTAATGTCCATGTGGCACTTCGAAGCGTTCACCACTGCTTGAGAAACTCCATTCGAACTCCACGTCGGGTGGATCGGCATTTACGCGACACGAAATCGAAATCGACTCATCCAACGATGCTCCAACCATCGAAAGGCTTGATTCAGCACATACAGGTGAATCTAAGAAGTCAAACAGAAAATAAGAAAAGAAATGAAAACACTCAGAAGATTCTCTTTATTTGAACTAGTGCAATATTCCTTTAGTAGCTTCTGAAAGTGCCCCTTGATGCTATTACGACGCCCTTCACTATGTTCTAATATTTGATTAAAATTGTTTTTATTCGAGGAAAAATCAATTGTTCTTGTTGACGCCTGTATAGTTTATTTGTTCCGGAAATACCAAACAAATCAAATCTAGATGAACTAATCGAACGCGAAAGAAAGAAAAAAACAGCGAGATGTCATGAAACGAGAATGAGAGAGAGAGAGAGGGAGCGGGAAAAAAATCGGCAAAACTTATTTGGTCTATTCATATTTCAATTGAAATTTTATGTGCTCACTTCCCATTTATCATGAGCATATTGACGATATAAGGCAAATACACCGATCGGCACACGTTCACCGTAAATGCGTTTTATTATTTTTCCTCAATTCTCATTCACTTTTGATCAGCATCCACTATGCGATTGTTCGCTTCCGCACATGTGCTTTTTTGTTCAATTTTCTCTCTCTCTCTCTCTCTATCTCTCTCTAGTTTATATATTCATGCGAATAATACCGAACATTTCCAACAACTCATTTCCTGTTTTCGCTTTTCATAAGGAATGAAATGAAATGAAATACCGTGCAGCCGAGAGAGAGAGAGAGAGAGAGAGAGAGAGAGCGAATGAGTGGGGAAAAAAGGGTATGAACTCAGCACACACACAAATCCAACCAAAGTGCAAATAAAATGAAATAAAAGTTGAGTACTGGTAACAATTCGAAAACAAATACCATTGACAAGAGCGTACGTTTGGCTGTTATTTGCCATATATATATTTTGCTGCCTGTCAGCCATCGAACACTTCATTTTTAATGCATTCGAATGAATGCTGTATCCCATTCGATCACACATCACTACACAAAGCGATAAAAAGATGTGTATCGAACGACAAACATGTACACAAGGAGAGAGAGAAAGCGAGAGAATCATAGAGAGAAAAAAACACCGATATACTACGTATTGAAACACGGTTGGCATTTTGATGGGACGCATTCAACTTTCAAACCTTTTGCACCCAGAAATCATGTGAAAAGGTGAAAAAATTTAATATTACGACTTATTCCCATCTACACCTCTTTGTAGCAGCATTTCATCTATCGTCGCGCTCTTGTTTCTATTTCTTCTTCATCTTTGTTTGCGTCATTCATGTGAGAACGTCAGTTGCTTCATTGGGAAATAAAACGATGGAATTTTAAATTAAAATCGCTACGACGATATGGCTGTGACACATTTCGTTCACGGCGCTACCAATTTCAATGCTAACTTTTTCCGCATGCACCCGAAATTTATGATCGTAGTGAACTTTTACTTTTTCACTTGGAATTCATGTTTGGACTGCGGGAAAAAAAAACAATCGAAGTGAATGTTCCGGTCGTAGCAAGCGAAGAAATTTTTTTTTTGAAGTAATGCAGACATAGTAGTCATTGCATTGTAAGTATTCGAGAAAAAGAAACATAAACTGAAAGTTGAAATCTGAATTGATTCAAACGTAAAATCGAAAAGTTTAGCATTTTTTCTGTGCAAAATGTCTTCAAATTGTTGCAAAGCAAACACTTCAGCGGGCGAGAATTGCTGTTGCAAATCCTGTAATAGCCCAGGATGCTATCCCAAGCAAGTTCATGGGGCATGTCGAATGGATATGCCTTGCGCCAGAATGCCAGGACCACGGCCACCAAACTTTGTAAGTAAATTGCATTTTCGGGTATTCAATATTGCAGCAACTTTCAATTTAATATCCATTCTGTTTTAAATTCTCATTTTCCAGAACAAAGTCTTCAAAAATCATCGAAATCCTGATTTGCCGTGGCTCGATTGGCATTTTCGGCCGTCAATCACATCTGATTCGACCGATACGAATCACTACGCGTATCAGTTGAAACGACACACACCCTGCATCGGCGACGTCTACTTCCACGATTTGCCCGAAGATTCGAAAAAGTTCATTTGAATTGGAGAAGCTTTGAAGCACATTAATATTAACATTAATTGTTAATCAAAATCCAAAGTCTAGAGTTAAATCCGAAGTGAATTAATATTTGAAAAGTGAAATGTTGTTTTTATTTTGTTTTAATTCCGCTTCCCTTGGGGCTAAACTAATTTTAATAGTCAAGTAAATGTACTGGGAAACTTTCATGATCTAATACTATTTACGGATATGGAGATGAAAATTGCATCTGGAGCAATGCGTGTCTTAACTCGTTCGAATAGTGCTCACGATTTGAGTGAAAACGGAATGAAATCGCTAATCATATAAAATATCCAATTAAAGCTACCCAGGTTTTGGCACACAGCTATTTATACATCATCGAATTAACACTGGGATCAGACCAGATTCTTTGTGAACTTAAAAATTACGTCCATGAACCAAATGAAAATCAATTTCAAGAGTTCAGAACATTTTCTAAGTTGAGAGAGAAAAAAAAACGAAATAAAAAATAAAATTCTCGATTTGATGTCGCCAAATGAAAATAAACCGAATGCACATTGGTTAAAGTAAAAATAAAACGGAATGCTTCACGTACTTTTCTTATGAATATTTATTGTCTAATGCTGTTTTCGTGTTCATAAATCATTTGATGCATGAAGAGTAAGCGCATAACAACAAAGAGCAATAAGCACGAGTGCCGCACGTTCTGTACACAACCGAATGGTCACACGATCCGTCTCGGGAAAGGGAATACACAAACAAACCCATCGACATCGACACACAGAGTACGAAGCAAAGACAAAAAGACACAAAGATACAAAGTGAGTGAAATGAAAACAGACGGCAAAAGTCTGTAGTGCACTACAACACATTTATTTATATAAAATGCGATGATGTTTTTGGTTCCCGGCAACTCTCTCATATACTTTTCACTTTGAGCTTTGAAAAAAGGAGAAAAAGACTAAGTAGAAGTGGGAGGAGGAGAGTAGAATGACAAATTTTTGTTATCCTTGACAAATCATGGTTTAATAGCATCAAACGAAAACTGGGAAAAGTTTTTGAAAATTCCGTATACACTGGACTATATTTATGGAATGAGTTTGGAAAGCGAAAACTTTCAAATGAATAAACGAATTGACCACCTTTGCTCTCATCATTAAGGGCATAAAATGGAGATGTTGTGTTGGTGAACAAGCTGCTATTTTCTCTCTCTCTCTCTCTCTCTTGCTTTGGCCGTTGGTTTTCACATATTCCAGAGAAAAAGGTCGCTACAACTGAAATGGTTTAGTTACATGAGTTTTCGTTGTCATTACCATTCTATCTCTACCACCCGAAAAAGAACCAACAAAGACAAAACTACCGGCAACCAACCAAAAGTTTGGATCACTTTGCGCTCACCCTTTCTCTATCTCCCGAATGGAAATTGAATAAAACCAAGCGGTGGCAAAAATCAACCAAAAAAGACCTTCGACCAAAATGAAACTGAATAGTTGAAATACAGAGAAAACACAAAAATCGAAGTAGACGCTTGACAAGTTTAGTGCAACCGAACAAAAAATAAGAGTAAAGTTGAAAAAAAAAATCAAAATAAACCAAGCCAACTGCGCAAAAATGAAAACAACGACCAAAAATAAAGCATCGAGAGACAAACAATTCGTGCGTGTTAACAATACTTTTTTTCGTTTTATGTTCTCTCTGCTGTTCTCTTTCTCTCTTTTTCTTGGACAAAATCTGACACGAACCACGGAATCGTAGAGCTTTTCCAAATAAAGCAGTTTTCGTGCTCTTGCTGCTGCAACTGCATGCATTTGATCAGCGTATCAAATGCTAAATAAGTTTAAAAAGGTATTACACTTTTTGTTTTTCTCATTTATTGTCTTCTCTGGCAAGAAGTACGTGCAACTCGAAGAGCGGTGTGCAAATACGTTTTGATCGCATTAACCGACTTGTCGAGGATAATGTATTTTTGCCATGGAAATGGCACGCTTTATACCGGACTGGAATCATTCCAAGAGAGCAGATTCAAACGAATATTTGTCATAAGCATTTCGATTAAAGTAAATTTAGTCGATTCTTGTTGGCTTTTGCTTGGTCGCTTTGTGTTTCGATTAAATTACAATTGCTTTTCTAACATGGAATGGCTTGGAACAATGAGAGAAAATACAAAAAAATTCGAAAAGACATGTGGATACACATATATTCGCTTGAATTTGAATATGTAATCTTGTCTAACCGGTCCAGCTAATGTAGAAATAGCAGTAATAGAGATTAGTAGAGTGTAAGCTCGAGAGTACAGATTATCTTGATGAATCGCCCTCAGTTAGGCTGGAAGCAAAATTGTGCCATTGTAAACACACACACAAACACACACGTCGTAAGATTGGTGTTACAAATGGTCATCTCATTTTGTTTGTCATATATGTAAATTGAGTTGTATTGGTGGCGATTTATTCGAAGTTCAATGTGATGGCAATTGGGTGTGGATGTGGATTATCCAAATAAAACCAATGAAGTGTTCCTTTCAAGCGAAATACAGATTTTTGTCTGTGCATTCTTAAACCATAATACATCAAACCAAAGTTAACAAAAATCTTTACGTTCAATGTTTGCTAGGACATTTGCGAACTGCACGCAATGCAATGCACAGACAAAGAAGAAGACGAAGAAAAACGTTGCGATCATATTTCATTGAAACTTTCTCACTTAAAGCTGGAGAAATGCACTATGTTCAAATTAACTCATCACAATACAAGCAATGCGATGTGATTACATGATTACCAAGAAGATGAGACCGGATCCCCTACACTGTGGACGTGTGTGTGTGTATGTGTGTGTGTGTGATGCTGGTTTGCTGCTTCTACACCCTGTGTGCTGTGCATGCACACTCGGGATGAAATATTTTCCGCTGGATTATGATAACATTCTGTTGTCTGTATTTGCTGATCGTTTTAGAATTTTGATGAAGACCGCATCGTATCGCTTCTCTACTCAATTTCGACATGACCGAAGTGCTTCAATGCCAACAATGTTCCAAATGAATATAATCGTTTCTGCTTTGAGATTAGATATCGACAACACAAAATGCAGGGTGAATACAATGATATTCTCTTTTTTTCCAGTTACTATATATTGTTTGCTAAGCAAAATTGCTGATACGACACTTCTTACCGACTTTCCTCGTTCGTTTGCTGCATTGTTTTTTGCTTGTGCAGGAATTTTTGCTGGGCATCCTACAATTATTATGAAATGATTGTTTGGAAAATTGAAAATTTCAACGTTTACACAAAAGATATATTTCTTCAAATTTATGTGGGTTCAATGTCGTCAGTCAGCACAATGAAAGGCATTTTATTGAATTATTGCTACAAATCTTGTTAACTTGGTATACATTTTGTCGCTTGGTTGAACCGGGTTGAGTGACGGGAGCCGAGAGACGAAAGGTCAACATAAGCAATTATTTAATCTGTGGTTGATTACATGCATTTATGTTTGGGCAAATGAAGCACCCAATAAAATTTACTGTGTTTACTTTGTGCTCTTGTTCAATTGTTTCGATAAACAATAACGAAACGAACAAGCGAAACGACATGCACAGTAAAGCACTTTTGGGTGTACGTTTTTCCAATCTCGGCGATTCCATTTAAAATTGTGTGTATGATATTCGATGCGTTAATTGTAATTTCTTTATTTAATTATAAAATATAATTAAAATACATTTGGTGAAATTAAGTATAAAACCAATAATAAAATTAAATAGAAGAGAATTATTTAATCTGGGGGCTTTGTAACGTCATTCCGTTGCGTGATTCGTATACGAGAGGATGGTGGTGAGGCTTTGTGTGTGTTTTTGTGTACCTCAATGGAATCTCGCATCATTTAATTTTGAATGCAGATTTGGCGGGCTCGAAAGAGCTGAAAAGCAATTATCTGTGTGACATCCGTGTATGTATATGAACATCAACATTATAATACAATGCTGTTGGTTTTCTTTGTTTTCGATTACCATTAAATATGTGTGTTCTACATTTGTTACTATTTTATACACAAAATTGGAAATGAGCGTGTCGCGTATGTCGCATCTCAAAAAGGCTTCCCACTGAAATGGTTATTAATATAATTTTGAAATAACAAATTTTAATCACATATAACTGCTGTGTATTGTATATCCAATTAATTTACACGTAATTAAAATATATGCATGGCACGGCAGAAGATGAGTTATGTGATACAGTCGAGTAAAAAGTAAACAACAGTACATGCCCCACTTTGAATCGATACTTGTCTCTCTCTCTCTCTCTCTCTCTCTTCCATACTGTTTTTTCGGTGGATGTGTACACTACGTACATATTTTGCATACATACTTTGATGGATGCCACATCCAGTCAAGCAATAAATTAGAGGAAATTGAAAATTGGTGAAAAAGGAAAAAGTGACACAACAACAATGCACGAACTTGAGCGAGTTAACGAAATTCATCAGCGGCAACGGCTTGACGGTCAAAAGAACAACTAGTTTGATTTGGAAAATATTACATATCATCATCCAACCCCAAACTAGCATACACCATCGAATTTCGGATTTAGCGATATTTGGAGTACGCACGAGAACAAATGTAATTCATTCAGAATAATTAAATAATTAAATATTAAACATTTCTATGAACATTTTGCCATTTACCGATATTATAGGATGAAAAAACAAACAAACGAAAAAAACACTTGATGTCATAGTACAACCGGTTGTATATATGTATGTACCATTACAAATTGGTCAATGTTTGCATTTTAATTGGTTTGTTTTCGATTTATACGTTTATTTTATTTTTATGTAACCACATTACAAAGGTTCGGTGTGGGTTTTGATTTTGTTTCATTTTGACGAACCATAAATATGAACACAACGCCAGGTTATTTACGTGCATGATTTCGGAATGGCTGACTTTTTTACCGCTTTCTTCTCTCTCTCTCTCTCTCTCTCTCTCTCTCTCTCTCTCTCTCTCTTTCTCTTTCTCTTTCTCTTTCTCTTTCTCTCTCTCAGTTAGTCCCTTGTTGTTGCGATGCCAATTATTTCATGTTAGTTGCCCCAGTTTAATGTCGGAGCAATGGTGCACGTGAACATTTGA